ACTCCGTACGAACATTCTTGGTTCGATGGGACTTGTGCAGTAGGTACACTGTATGGACAAAATTTAGTTTCTATTCGTATAGACCTGAAGAAAGAGCAAAATTTGTCAATGTTACTTTGTATTCATTTTACAGTTGCCATTACAGGAAGCACAAAAATCTGTTGTAGTGTGATTACAAATTAATCTAACGTATATTAGCTAGTAAATGACAATATTTCTTGATTGTTAGTAATAGAATCTATAATTACGAAGTTTATTGCATCTTGTCATGTTTCATGTAATGTAAAACAATAACGGTGGTGAAATGAATCATAATAATACTCTAGTGGGGTGAGATTTCTGTATTCTTTCATTCATTATTCTTTTTAAGGCGTTTGACCTTCTTCTATCCCTGACTTTTGAGTTAAAGTTCGTTTAGTCATACGAAAAATATCGTATGAGCTCCTATATAAGGTGCTTGCAATGTCTTTAGCTGAACAGGTGTTAACTGTGCACATAGAAAGATTCGAAATGGATAAACAGCCATGAAGCTCATGAAAGATCGAACACTAGAAACTCTGGTAATTCTCACTTTAAACCAAATTTTTAGACCAACAATACTTTTATAAATGGTTATAATTGATTTTAATTGGTAGATTGTTGATCTGATATCTTTATGAATGAAGATGTTGGGCCGAAGAAACTAGTTTTATCAAATCGTAAATTTGTTGATAATGATTAAAGCGACAAACAGATAATGTTTTTATCGTGTATTTTGTTTGTCATTGAAATTAACTCAATTATAATTGTACAATTAACTTAATTAGTTTAATTCGAATAATAATGAGATTTTAAAGGTAAATCGAATAACAATGACTCAGCGAACAAAGTTTTGCGAAGCTGACACAAAAAAGTTGTATACAATATTTGCAAAATTAATCGCACATCGAGTGGAAAGATACTTTGGATTCAGCTGCAGTCCGTCGTTTATTAGAATGACTATGACTTAAGCTATTATACTTTTATAAAAAAAAGTGGCGCTACAACCTTTTTAGGTCTGGGCCTCAGATTGCTGTATCTGCTTCATGAAAATTTGTTAATCTAATAGGCAAGTAGATGATCAGCCTCCTGTGCCTGACGTGCGCCGTCGACTTTTTGGGTCTAAGGCAAGCCAGTTTCTTCACGATGTTTTCCTTCACCGTTCGAGAGAATGTTAAATGCGTACATAGAATGAAAGTCCATTGGTGCACAGCCGGGGATCGAAAACTACGACGTCAGGGATAAGATACGCACGCTGAAGCCACTATATTATATATATTATTTATTATTGTTACTTTTTTATGTATTACGTAAGGTAGAGTATGTTTCCATTGTTCTAATGGATAAGAATAAGTACGTTAAATGTAACCATATTTGAGATAAAATTGAAACATATTATTACAGGAATTTCGGTTTCGGACACATGCTACATCTAACACTGAATTCAAAATTTAATGTTATAAATAATAAATCATTTATTTTTCTTCTAAGAACAAACAGAAAATAGTTGTAATCGAAGTTAAAACAATCACATTAGAGAATTAACATGCAAATTACTAATTCATTAAGAATTTTTATCGAGACCTTGGCCACTACATTTGTTTTGTTTGTGTCCAATGTGACATTACGGACTTAGAGTTTTTGCTGACAGTATATTAAATAAAATATATCTATGTTCAGAGGCTGTATCAGCCATCATATACTGTTGATTTTTGGGCCCAAGACATCCATCTTACTAACAAGTATCACTAAGGCACATAGATAAAAGAATTACATGTACGGCAGAGATTAGAATCCATGACTTTAGTATAGACGCGAGTCTTGGAATTTGGCTCTAAGAGACTTGGTGCTAAGTATGACTCTGGTGGGTTAACAATGTATTGGGTCTGAGAAGGTCTGGGTGTTGGGAGTCTCGTCTCCTACCATCAGTAATTTGGTCAGTTGATAGAGTAAAGGTATAACATTCGCAATTCAAAAGCAAGATTGGCCTAGTGGCTACAGCGTGCGAATCTCATCTCCGGCTGTGAATCCATGGAGTTTCTGTCTATATAAGCATCTAATTCTCGCTCGTACGTAGTTACGTCAAGTAAAACATCGTTAGGATACCGGCATGTCGCAAATCCAAAAATCTATTTAATTTTAATTTATAATTCGTCATTTGAGATTTCAATAAATTATTTTGCATATATAAAATACTAATATTTCATAGAATCTCTTTGCGAAATTTTGATTTAAAAAATAGAATTTCTATCTAGGTATCTAATATATAAAATTCTCGTGTCGCGGTGTTTGTAGTTAAACTCCTCCGAAACGGATTGACCGATTCTCATGAAATTTTGTGTGCATATTGGGTATGTCTGAGAATCGGACAACATCTATGATTCATACCCCTAAATGTTAAGGGTAGTCCACCCCTAATTTTATTTTTTATTTTTAGATAATTTTTTTTATTTTAGTTTTTCACCCCTTAATCAACCTTTTTTTTTATATATATATGCAAAGACGTTTCCAGTCAGCTATATATTATTTTTCTTACAAAACTACATATTCTGACTTATATTATTATTTATTATAATTGCTTACATCTATAAATAAATTTACCCTCATCCTAAAGAATTTCCTTCAATATTTTACTAATTGGATGCAATCTCAAGACTTGTCTAGGGTTGTACCATATTTTATATTTCGCAATTATTATAGAACCTACACAACTAAATTGTTTAAAAAAAATACATTTTTAATAATATTTTTATGAAGGGGTCGCTAAAAGAAATATTGAAATTAATAAGAACCTACCGGTATATAATGAAATAGGCTATCCGACTCCATACGATTGGCTACCTACCTAACATCTTTGAAAACTGTCTGCACAAAAATTACTTAACCATATCCCATACTGCTCAATCTTGACTTTTGTAATTCTTATTCTTTTGTATTGCATTGTAATTCACCCACGAGATTGGCTTTTTAGTTTGTTTTATAAATATTATTTGTTTAATTTGAATATATTGTTTATATAATGTTCTTTGATTTGTATAAATGTAATGAAGTGTGAATAAAAATATTGCTTTGTTGGATAATTTTTGGCGAAGTAGCAACTTGATAAAATTCTCAATGAAAGTGTCGTAATGACTATTAGTCCGACTGGACAGGGCTGCGAAAGTTATCGGTTATTTAATAGCAATGAGAAGCGAATAAAGGAGTTTTAATGCCTCCTTAAAACTGTGGCATTTTCATAGCAGAGTTGAAACGGTGTTCAAAAACAATAGTCTATCAATTAATGTACGATTAATGCACGTCGGTACGGTGATTGCATGTTTACTATGATCGGTTTGGGATATTTAATTAATATTTATAATATTTATAAACGAATAAGTAAGATTTTATTTCTTCTTAAATATGGCGTTTTGAAACGCCTATTAATTATGATGTCTATGAATTAATTCACGATTAATGGACGTCTCTGAGTAAGGTTATTGTTTGTTAATAATACTTTGATAGGTTTGAGATATTTAATTAATACTTTACATAATCAAGAACGAATAAAAATTGATGAGCGTTGTAAGTTCTTAAATAGCAATGAGAAGCAGATAACAGGTTTTAATTCTTCTTGAAAAGGGTGGTATTTTCGTAACAGAGGTAAAACGGTTTTTAAATGCAATAGTCTATCAATCTACGATTAATGGACGTCTCCGAGTACGGTTATTGTTTGTTAATAATACTATGATCGGTATGGAAATACGAAATAATATTTATATAATATATATATATAATAAATACGAAAACATATTTTCATATTTAAAATGTATAAATAATTAGCTATGAGCGTTGTAAATTTTCTCATATAAAATACAGTTGTTTTTCGATCTTTAAAACAGAAGGTACTTAATATAGTAGCATTCTTTGTTCTCATGTTATAATATTAATTTGACAATTAGCATACAAATTTTAATTTCTTTGTTTTAACATTGCTTTGTTTTAACTTAGATGAAGTTGCATTTTACGGTAATTAACATTTTTTGTTTTTGTATTTCGACTTATCATGATGACTTCTGGGGTTTTTAAAAATTTATCCGCTCCCGTTTGTAATTATACATGTAAAAAATATTGCGTTTAATTTCGTTTCGGTACAGTAAGATACTTTGATGATGCGATGGAGCATTTGTACGATGCAAAGATTTTGAAAAAAAAAAAAAGCTCTTGATTTGTGTAAATAACGTTATAAGTTGTCTTTTATACGCGTTAAAGAATGCTTTTATCTATCTGAGCTCGTAATATTTATATATTAAATATTCTCCGTTTATTTTCTGTTCTTCCAACTGTTATTATAAAAATATCTAATTTTAATTTATTATCAATTACTATAAAATACATATAGGTATCATCTAAACCACAAACTAAGACCATATCAACGATTTTTATAGAAAGAGTTTATATTCAAACGTATAATTATTATTGTTACTTTTAATTGATCGTAATGTATTTATTATTATACTGAAGAAAACTTATTAATTATTTGTTTATTTTTAATTATAAAGCATTTTGGCATATTTATATACCTAGTTATATTGATTATGTGATAAATAATGATGTCCGTTATGTCATATTCAAAATATTTTATTGTCAGTAAAGATAAGTAAATATTACGGTGGGAAATAAGTCGTATAACATATAATTTAAACAGAATTTTCAAATAAAACTTAGAATTAAAAATATAACAAAAAACTATCAATTTAAATGATTTCGCTGTAGAATTGTTATGTCTATGTTGTATTTCAATTTGGTAATCATATAGTGCCCACTCTTTATATTCTTTGAGTAAACAGACCTTGTGAATAACCGATAATCCTTGAAAACTTAAAAATGTTTACCTTACAAATTAACGCTCGGAAATAAACATAGAACAGGAAATATATTTACACACAAAATATTATTAGGTATCTATTAAAATTTAGCAGTGATAACGTCTTATTGGACTTTTGCTATAGATAATTAAACTTACTGTTAGGTGAGCCCCCTCTAAACATAGGGTTTGGTGCCATCCACGGAAAGGCTCCGAAGGGCCAGGCGTGCGGAGTAGGACCCTGATACAGCCTAGGTAGTAGCGGCTGCGGCACCACAACGCCCGTCCTTTCCACTTCCTCTCCATCTTGATTACTCTCTCTCTCGTCCCGCTCATCTCCCACATTCGACTCGACATCTTCAATATCCACATCACTATCATCAGTGTCTATCACACTATCGTTACTCGGCTCCGGAGTGTCTCTCGGCGCGTCATTTTTACTCCCCAATAAAGAGTCTACGCTAAAGGATATGCGGCCTTTCCCGCCGTTCTCGGCGGTGTCAGACCGCTCGCATTCGAGCGACGTCTTCATCATCTATTTGACATTTCCCGATCACCTCCCCGCCGGCGGTGACATTCTCAATTCAAACACATCACTAGTTCACAGTGATTAATCACAGATCACTCAAGTAATCCGTTGCAGTGTTCGCGAGTCGTACGCAAAATGATTCGCGTGGCGGCTCGCCGGTAATCGCGGCTGTATTGGGGAGATCGCGGCCCGCCTCTCCCGAAGCGACAGAGACGCAGATATGAACCGAGGAATTTTAATAAGCGGCGCGGCCAGAACGAGACAACGATACAATTCAACATGTGTGTAAACGCGAGATTGGGTAGGCGGGGACCGTCGCGCTCAAATTAATCGCCTCCATGGAGTACGCCTTATACAATAATCGTTGCCACTAATATTATAAACCTTATGTGGTGTGCATAAAGTGTATTTTGCATTGTGATAAAATAAGCACTAGTGACGTAATAGCAGTGGACACGTCAGATTGAAGTTGCTATTGTGTTGAATGAAAAAGGAGTAAATAGACTACCGACGTTGGAGGGGACTTTACGATTTAATTATTCGCGAATACGGAGGCATTTTGTAGCGAGCTAATGTCTCATTGTCTCATTAATATCTCGGGCCGGCCATGTTTGATTTGTTTATGACACGGGCTAGGTGCAAACGTTGATGTTGGCAGTTGAAACGTCTATATTGTCTGTGGGAACTTAGCAAGTTGGAGTTAATTTAGCTGAATGTTCTGCATGTTAGTTGTTTCGGTGGGATGCTGTTTGTGTCAACGATGTATTAATTGTATTGTCTTTGTTTGATTAATTATGTCCAAGCAGGATTTGTCTTAATTATTACCAACGAACTTCTAATCTTTCGTATCTATTGTATGCCTAAAGCTTCTAAAACCAATTTAAGAATTTTGCTATTAAATATTTTTGGATTTTATTAAATTTACAAAATCATACATTTTATCCCGCCTTAATAAAAAAGCCAGTTTAGTAGACTTGTGCTGCAACTACGGAAACTCGTTTATTTAAAAAATGATTAATATTAAAATCCTAAGTATCTTTCTTATTGATCTTTCGAATCTGATCTAAATGGTTAAATAACCGTTAGATAACTCTTAATGATCAACTCAGAGTAGCTAGTTAATTGTTATTTATGATTAGACGTGAAATCTAATAGAACTGTATTAAATGCTATATTCTATATAGGAATTTATTGCAAATCATTTATTAAATTTGTACCTACTATAAATGCACTTCATAGATGACACTAAATTAACAGGATCAATGTCATTAAATAGACATAAATACGTCAAAACCGGGTCGTAATGTTCGCGCATATTGATCACTAACTCAATTTTGAACCTTATTACTATAGTATTAGGACACAATAAAAGAACAAAAGCACAGTGTGTTAAGGAAAAATAAACCTTATGTAAATTGTCATACGGTCCATAAACTAGAGATATTACCTATCCAATTAACGCGGTAATTGTTGATACAGATTATCCTTCGTTTAATGAAAAGAGTGTAATGTACCGATTTTGATATGAAAATAATCGGATTTATTATGTTTAATTTAGTTAATGATATTTATCATAAACTTCCATAGGATTTGTATAATTAAATTGCTTAATGTAGATAATTAATCATATGGATATTTTTACAAAGGTAAACAAATCATTTAATTGAAATATATATTAAATTAACTTATAATCATTAAAATGTTATCTTAAGATTTGTAGAGCAGAGTTAGTCTAGTGGCTTCAGCGTGCGATTGTCATCCTTGAGGTCGTAGGTTCGTCTTTCTGTCTATGTGCTAATCACTAGGTCGTACAGTGAAGGAAAATATCGTGAAAATCCGGCATGCCTTAGATCCAAAAAATCGACGGCGTTTGTCAGGCACAGAGGTATTAGAAATGATCATGAAACAGAAACAAAAATCTGCGGCTTAGACCTAAAAAGTTATACCGCCATTGGTATACGATGATTCTACGTTTTTAAAAGACATGAAGAACATAGAACAGAGACGAAAGTACTTTTAAACTAGGGAATGAGCAGGCTGTATCAAAAACTTAATTTATGTTACATATGTAAATCTATTATATTAGATATAGGATTTTTTTAAATTTATTAATAGATATTATACTCCAAGAAGGAAATATCAAATTATCGAGATTGTATTCTCTATGAGGAATAAGATGAACTAAATTGTATTGCTTTTCGATCTCTTCAACAATGTTTTACCGCTATCGCCTTCTGTCATATTTAATTATCTGTACAGCGATTTTCATAAGCACTTGTTGAATAAAATACGACAGTTATCTACATATATCATATATGTTTAACGTATGTTTAAGCGGCCTGCCTTGCGATTCTGTAACTCACTTTTCGAACTCTCACAGCGGTTTTCACAGCGGCGGTGAAAGAGGGAGCTTGTAGTTTATTGTTTATCAGAATGCCAAATCGTGAAATGACTGCTTTACAGAATCGCAAGGCTGTACTTCTATACAACCCCTAAATGACGAAATATCCTAGAGTTAAAATTCCATTATAAATCTCACTACGTCGGCTTATATGATAATGAAGAGCAAATAAAATTTGAGTTTCAAGGGGCCACTGAAAATTTATACTGAAATAATATAAAGCTCTTTGTAATAATGACTTTCATATTCCCGAGTGTTGCAAACAATTTAGCGGAGATGAGATATTTTTTTATTAAAAGTTGGCGAGGGCGGCCATTACTCCGCGCGAAATGAGTTTTTAGTTGGCGACCTTTTTTCGTTATACAGGCTGTGTCAATTTGATTAGCAGCTGACAAACAAGAGCATTTTTGTTTTATTGTCAATTAATGCCAATGTCAACTGTCATTTCATTCATGGTTCTTCTATCGTTTTATTGAATGCAATTGGCTTGCACGAACCACAGACTTAAATCTTTTATTAAAAGGATGCAATCGGGCAGGAGCCTCATGATGTCATGGTACGCCGCATAGACTCTCACATTGCCAGAGGGCTCGGAAATGGTTTGCCGGCCTTAGAGACTAACTGACTCAGAATGGACAAGATATGTATATGTTTATAAAAATATACTTTTATATCCGATAAATATTTTCAATTTAACCAGATAATAAATAACGAAGAACAGTTATATACAACATACATTAAAAAGTTACGAAAAAATCATGCTTATCAATCAATCGTGGTCCTCTTATTACGAGTGTTGGAAGATTCTATTGTGCCAATATAAAAATACAATCTACTACTAACTACTAATACAGACTATATAATTAATTGTAACCTCATTAAGCTAGAGAAAATCAAGGAATTTTCCGAACAGCCTGTGTCGGAAAAGCGGCAAAAGTAATAAAACGTGCGTCGCCGCCGCTGTCATCGTAAAAACATTTCCCTCTTTAATATTCCGCAATTGCCACTTTTCCTTATATTTTTATGCTTAATGTCACCCAGATAACCGTATCCTGGGCCCGGGAATATTCCAATGAGGTTTAATTTCAATTTAATGTCTCTGCAGAGTATTTAATTTAGTTGCTAAACGGTTTTTTTACGTAATTAAATTTTTATTAGGTATATAAAGCCCCTTCCGAATAGCCATTGTAACCAGTCTGTTTATACTTAAAATTGCAAGGAATTATTTTAAATCTATTTTTTGAAGTGAAACTTCTTTATCGAGGTTGGAAAAAAATTTAGTGTAACATTATCGTTACGCGTCACATTTTTCGGTTACGCGCCATGTTGCTTTTTGAAGTCAAACTTCTTTATCGGCGTTGGAATGAAACTTCTTTATCGACGTATGGGAGAAATTTTGTAGCAAATCGTCACGTTTTTCAATGATAGTAATAATTCTATTACAATTAATGAAATTCTATAATAATCTTCGTAGTAATAAGGTAAAATGAAATATTTGTATTCATGTCTATGATAATAAAAGCCTTTTGTTAAACTTTATCTAATTTAACGAATTTCTGTAAAGTTGCATACCTATAGTAGATCATTTTTCGAAAAATAAGATCATAAAGAAGTTTCACTTCTTACGTGTGTACACCTAGTACACGCACAATTTATTTTTTAATGGAGAATACCTTTAGCTTTAGTGAAGGCTCTGTTTAATTATAGATGATGATGATCTTAGTCAGACAGATAAGCACATAAAAAAATTGCTTGCATTAAAAAGCAACATTCAAAACCTACACGTCACTTAAGTGCACAAAGAACAAACAGTAAAAGTATCATGTAATACCCAACGGGCCATGGGAACCTCTAGCTGTTTTAAAGATAATTATTCACCATAGGCAATTCTGTACTATTCATCATGGCAGAGCTATTAGCGCGAGCAGCGAACCCAGGAAGTCCATGGCAGTTACTATAGGTACCTAATAAATATGTTTGTACCCAATTATTCCAGAAAATACAGTACAAAAGGTTTAGGTCTGGGCCTCAGATTTCTTATGTTTCATGATCATTTGTCAATCTAATCGGTAAGTAGGCGATCAGTCTACTGTGCTTGACACACACCATCGACTTTTTGGGTCTAGGGCAAGCTTTCCTCACGATAGTTTCCTCCACAGTTCGAGCGAATTTTAAGATGTTCGAGAGAAAGTCCATCAGTGCATAGCCGATACTTGAACCTCAGAGATGAGAGTAGCACGCTGAAGCCACTAGGCCAACACTGCTCATTATATGCTGTTAACTTTCATACCCATAGGTAAACATGATTATAATCCGTCCGTGCAAAAGTTTAGCACATATTTAAGAACTTCGGAAAAAAATTAATCACGACAACACCGCCACCTTGTTAGAGAAGGCTGTGTAAATCTCAAAAACAAACAGCACCCTAAAACAAGCAAACATACTACCACTTAAGGATCACTTATCTCGGCCAATTTTAAATGACCCCTCGACTCGTCCCTTCGAGATAAACCGTCTCATTAAATGGGGTTCTACCTAATTTAAACATTTTCTGGGTACACACCTAACGCCACAAGAGTTAACTATATAGCTTAGGCAAATA